GCCTTGGGCTATTGTTATTGATAGGACTGTGGGCTGAGTAGAAAGGGAAGTTGGATTTTTTATTTATGCGGGTTCTGTAGAGTGGGGCTCTACTTTCCACTAAATTCTCAAAATTACCCCCAAAATATAGGAAAGTGAGGAATCAGAAGCTCAGAGAGTAGTTTGGCCAAGGTTAGAGGCTTGTTAGTAGCTTGACTGGAATTAAATTAGTGCTCTTTCCATTAAGCCATTTTGTTTCTCTAAAAAGGAAGGAAAGACAGAGGGAAGGAAGACAGGAAGGAAGGAAACTTTAAATTAGTCTTGTAAATTGTTCCAGTACTGTGTTTTAAGGTTTTTAGTGTAGTTATGCTTAAGTTGCAATTTAGAGAAGGAAATAGAGGCTATAGAAGATGTGTTGATCTATTTACAAAACTATCTGAGTGTTCAGTGGCCAGAAGTTTGCTGTATCAGCCTTATTTTTGACTTTGCAGATTGGACAATCACCATGTTCCAAAGGGTGGTGGAACACTGCCTGGGAGTCATGAGACTTCTGGTCTTCTGTCTCAGCAATCATCATTCTTGAAACTCTGCTGGGGCTTTTTCTGTATTCTTTTCCTTGTGTAAGTCTTAAATCCTTTTCTTTTCCATTGTTTAATTAGAAATCTCCTGTCATTTCCTTTTGTACATTTCCCTGTGAGGAAGAGTACATTTATTTTTGAAAGTATAGTCAGTTTTACTTAAAATAACTTGAAAAATGGAAAAAATGAGAGGGGAATCAAATCTCTAAGAAAGTAGTAATTAGCCCTAGCAGAAGGGATTGGAYAGAGCAAGGGAATAGGAGAATACTCCTCCAGGCTGGAAGATTCCATTGAATTGACAGTTAAGAGGCAGGGTGGGGCTTATGGAATTTGCCAGAGGAGAACCATTGCATGAGGAATTCGTAACTGAATTTTTTAAGCCTGCAAGTGCTCATGGAGCAGAGTACTTAAAAATTCCAGTGCACAATTAGCACCTTCTCTGACTGACAGCAGAGAACTGAGTAGACCAGAACTATAAATAGGTTTGAGGTATTCTGAGGGTGAGGATAATACAAAAAGAGGGGAGAAAATTTATAGGCATAGTGCTGTAGTTTGGACCCAACATTTTAGGGGTTATGTGTTAAATGCTTGTTCCCCAGCCTGTGGCACTACTGGCAGCTGGTGGAGATGGGGCCTAGTGAAATAAAGTTGAGTCATTAAGGACATGCCCTTGAAGGGGGATATTAAGACCTTAGCCCTCTTCTTTCTCTTTGCTTCCTTGCTGCTATTATGCAGTTTTGTTCCTTTATGCACTTTCATCCATGATGTGCTGCCTTGCTACAGGGACTAGAACTTCCAAAACTGTGAACTAAAAGAAACATTTCCTCTTTTTTTTTTTTTTTTTTTTTGGTAGTGCTGGGATTGAATCTAGGGCCTTGTGCATGTAAGGTGGACACTCTACCAACTGAGCTATATCCCCAGCCCCAGAAACCTTTCCTTTTTTTTAAAAATTTTTATTTATATCAGTTGTTGATGGACCTTCATGGTTTTTTTATTTATATGTGGTGCTGAGAATCAAACCCAATGCCCTACACATTTGAGGCAAGCGCAATACCAATGAGCCACAACCCCAGCAGCCCCCCTTTTCTTCTTTTAAGTAACAGAAAGCTCATATGCAGAGTTATAGAATATATCAGTTAAGCAAGCTAAGCAGCAGATGATTAAATCATACTCAGGAAATTTTTATTTTATTGAATTTATTATTTTTTTTCTACCAGGGGTTGAATTCAGGGGTGTTTAATTACTGATCCACATCCACAGTTCTTTTGTTTGTTTGTTTGTTTTCCTGGTTTTTTTTTTTTCATTTTCAGATAAGATCTCATTTAGTTGCTTAGGACCTTGCTAAGTTGCTGAGGCTGGCTTTGAACTTGTGATCCTCCTGCTTCAGCCTCCCARGCTGCTGGGATTATAGGTGGGTGCCACCATGCCCAGCTCAAGAAATTTTTTAAAAGTTATTTTCTAGCTCAGTGATGATTTTCTGATGTTTTTGAAGGTGACTCAGTTTTGTTTTTGGTTTTTTTTTTTTCTTTTTTTTTATGGTGCCAGGGACTAAACAGGGATGAACTATCACTGAGCTACATTCTCAGCCCTTTGTATTTTTTATTTGAGACCGGGTCTTGTTTAGTTGCCTAGGCTGGCCTCAAAAACTTGTGATCTGCTCAGCCTTTCAAATAGCTGGGATTATAGATGTGTGCCACCATACCCAGCTCTATTTATTTAAATATTTACTACAATTTTCAGGTTTTGTATATTGAGCTTGTATTTATTTTTATTACCAGAAAAACTTAAACTTACCAGGTATGATGACACCTACCTGTAATCCCAGGGCCTTGGGAGGCTGTGGCAGAAGGATCGCAAGTTTGAGACCTACCTTGGCAATTTAGCAAGACCCTCAGTAACCTAGTGAGAACCTGTCTCAAAAGGAAAAAGGACTGGGGATGTAGCTCTGTGTTCAAGTGCCCCTGTACCAAAAAAAAAAAAAAAAAAAAAAAGATAGAAAAACTTAAGCAAATGTTGGCTAATTGGTAATATGGAGCTACATGCCAGGCAACTTTCAAAACTCTTTTCATACATAGACTCATTAAATGTTCTCAGTGACTGTTGAGTTAGGTACTGTCTTTGTTTGTACTGCCATAATAAAATCCCAAAGACCTTACTTCTTAATACCATTATTTTGGGGGTTAGGATTTCAGCATAGGAGTTTTGAGGGACATAACATTCAGTTCATTTTAGGTGCTGTTGTTTCCATTTTACAGATGAGGAAACTGAGGCAGAGAGGTTTGATAATTTGCCCATATTAGCTGTGAATAATATGTAGCAGCAATGGTATTCAAATTCTGGCAGGACAAGTACTGTTATTGAGTCACATCCTTAGTGACTTTATAATTTTTATGCTTTGGGTTGTGTTTTTTTTGGGGGGGGTGTATACTGGGGATTGAACTTAGGGGCACTCGACCACTGAGCCACATCCCAGCCCTATTTCATATATTATTTAGAGATTCAGGGTCTCATTGAGTTGCTTAGCACCTTGCTTTTGCTGAGGCTGGCTTTGAACTTGTGATCCTCCTACCTCAGCCTCCCAAGCCACTGGGATTACAGGCATGTGCCACTGCAAATTTTTTTTTTTTTTTTTTTTTTTGGTGGTACTGGGAATTGAACCCAGTGCCTTTTGCATCCTAGGCAAACATTCTACAACTGAGCTACATTCCCAGCTTTACTTTACTGTTCTTTGTATGCCTTGTGATTTTTTTTT